GGAGTAATTCTTGACCATTCCTTGTTTACAGAACTGTTTCAGTTCAGCAATATTCTTGGGATGTCTGGTGTGAATCGCTTTCTTGAGGTCATGCCACAGCATCTCAATCGGGTTGAGGTCAGGACTCTGACTGGGCCACTCCAGTTGATTTACTTCTATGCTTTGGGCCATTGTCCTGTTGCAACACCCATCTTCTGTTTGGGCTTCAGCTGGTAGACAGATGGCCTTTGAGTTCTCCTGCAAAATGTCTTGATAAACTTGGGAATTCATTTTTCCTTCGATGATCGCAATCCGTCCAAGCCCTGACGCAGCAAAGCAGCCCAAAACCATGATGCCCCCACCACCATACTTCACAGTTGGGATGAGGTTTTGATGTTGGTGTGCAGTGCCTTTTTTTCGCCACACATAGTGTTGTGTGTTTCTTCCAAACAACTCAACTTTGGTTTCATCTGTCCACAGAATATTTTGCCAGTACTACTGTGGAACATCCAGGTGCTCTTGTGCAAACTGTAAACGTGCAGCAATGTTTTGTTTGGACAGCAGTGGCTTCCTCTGTGGTATCCTCCCATGAAATCCATTCTTGTTTAGTGTTTTACGTATTGTAGATTCGCTAACAGGGATGTTAGCATTTGCCAGTGACTTTTGTAAGTCTTTAGCTGACACTCTAGGATTCTTCTTCACCTCATTGAGCAGTCTGCGCTGTGCTCTTGCAGTCATCTTTACAGGACGGCCACTCCTAGGGAGAATAGCAGCAGTGCTGAACTTTCTCCATTTATAGACAATTTGTCTTACCGTGGACTGATGAACAGCAAGGCTTTTGGAGATACTTTTATAACCTTTTCCAGCTTTATGCAAGTCAACAATTCTTAATCGTAGGTCTTCTGAGAGCTCTTTTGTGCGAGGCATTATTCACATCAGGCAATGCTTCTTGTGAAAAGCAAACCCAGAACTGGTGTGTGTTTTTTATAGGGCAGGGCAGCTGTAACCAACACCTCCAATCTCATCTCATTGATTGGACTCCAGTTGGCTGACATCTCACTCCAATTAGCTCTTGGAGATGTCATTAGTCTAGGGGTTCACATACTTTTTCCACCTGCATTGTGAATGTTTACATGGTGTGTTCAATAAAAACATGGCAACATTTCATTCTTTGTGTGTTATTAGTTTAAGCAGAATGTGATTGTCTATTGTTGTGACTTAGATGATGATCAGATCACATTTTATGACCAATTTGTGCAGAAATCCATATCATTCCAAAGGGTTCACATACTTTTTCTTGCAACTGTATATAACTTTAAAATGTATAAAATATTTTTCTTTTGTTGTTGAGATCTAATATTAAGAAATGCGCTATTCAAAGTTGCAGATACTTTACATGACATCTGAACAGTAAACAAAAAATATATAAAAGTCTTGCTATGCTATAAGTTGTGTTTTTATGGCTACCTTGATTCAGTAATTTCTGTAGATGGTTTCTGTAGATGACATTAAACAACAAAAAGTTTGAAAAAGTTTGTCTACAAGTCTTTGTTTCACTTTCTCTCAATTTTAAGACCTTGTCAAGTTGTTTTACTTGCAAGTTTTGGAATATTTTGTAAATTAAGTGTTACATTTTTGATCTACAATTCTCTGTTGACATGTCATATAAGTAACTAGCGTACATTTTTTTCACAGGAGATAATGAGCTCATGCCAGATTGGTTTGAATCCAGACTTGTTGCTACAATGATTCTTTTGGCTGCTGATGTTGAAATCCTGAGGCATTCAAAGACGTAAGTACAATGACGTTCTAAGTATAGGATATAAAGATGTTCGTTTACATTTGTTGATTGTTTGGTTTTTTACTTTCTCTGTTTCAGTTTTGCTGAAGGTGGTCAGTGTAAATGTTTACATTTCTGATTTATTGTAATTGGAGACTCTACCAGAGCAACCCATGCTTATTACATAGTTCATACCAGAATGGCTTGCGATGAGGTCCACGAACACAATCATCAAATACAGAATGGGCCATAATTCAGAGTAGGGATTGAGGAGTCAATAACTTTTCTATTAATGAACCAATTTTAGTAATATTACATACAATGAATGCTTAACATATAGAGATTTGTTTGACTAGGTACGGAAGATGGCACTTTTAAAATGTGCTCCATTTGCCGCCTTGCAAAGTTGGGTTCTTTCGATTGCATTGTTCATAACATTAGTTAATGTTACAGGCTCTAACACTCAAATTTCCCACAGGAAGTAATTGGGAGCTTAACGTTGGGCGAACATGGCGGCCAATTAATCTGGGAATTTCTTCAAAATATCCACCCGCATTTGTCTCAGTTTTGAAAATATAATTCCACTACCTTTGTGAAATTACAGATGAAACTCCCAAAACTCCTGTGACAATACGACCCTGGAATCTTTGGCCCTAGAGATGGACCAGTTCAGGAATAGTATCACCTGTGGGATTCTTTACATTAGCTTGTACTTTTCTCGCTAGCGAGTGCAGCGTCTCTCTTAGCTGGTGATTTAGTTGAAAGTGAGATGTCCTTGCATCTCTCTTACCGAAATTGTAATAGTTAGGACCTTGAATTACCTGTGGGAACTTCCGCTACTCTGGTGAACTTCTACCTTGAGCGCTAGGACTCAGATACTTGAGTTGCTAATCCCCCGGCAAAGCAGGGTACACTGCAGAGTTGCTCTGGGTATTACAGGATATTCTATCTAGCTAAAAAACACTAACGATTCTCCTATGAGCAATCGCACTATAGCAGACTGTAGATTGTTACAACACAGAAAGAGACCAGAAAGCTTCTTTTTGATGTAAAAGCGAACCAATGAACTGCTTTATTGTATGAGAACACAGCCTTTTCTACATTTACAGGCATGACACATTTTTTGCATAAGACAGGGAGGAGTATGCAGGTACAGTAATTACAGTGTGGAAATGATCAGAGCAAGCTCTTGCAACACCTTGACCATCTTATTTTAGGCTTTCAACAGGCAGGTGACATTATTGACTCAGTCCCACCTTTTTACTGTGCTGGCTATACATCTTACAGTGTCCTGAAATCATCATACATATGCCCAGCTTCTGCGAGCCTGGGTAGGGGGATTATGAACTACATAGTTCTTTGCCTGCATTACAGTGCTAGCGATGGTGGCAAAATAGCTCAATCGGTTCTCAAATGGAAATAGGGTAAATAGGCCATTCGTCACAACTCCGTTCTAATATAAGAAATTTTGTTTACCCTCTATGTACTAATAGCACAGTGTGGTAACATTGAGCAGCTGAGCTGATATAACTGGAAAAGCTCAGCTTCTCACTGAGCGCACACAAAAAATATCTTAGTTATGGCACTCAGAAGTGGTGCCTCATTTTACAAAACATGTTGAGCTTATCAAAACATGGCTGCAATCTCTCAGGTTCTAGACTTGGTTCAAACAGAGATTCCAAGATTTCCACACTCCAAAAAGGACCCTGAACATAACTAACCCCTTCTCTGAGAATGTTATACACACTTCAGGGGAACTCCAAGTGGAGATGTTATTATTCCTTTAATGCTACTCACACTTGAAAATCAGATGTATTCTCTCTCTCTTTTATTTTACCAAAAGTATCTATAAAAGGAAAAATCTGTCAGTTTAAAGGGATTCTATAGTGGCACAAAAACAAATCCATTTTCTCTGGAACTGCAATGTTTAACATTGCAGCACTAAGTGCAAAAGAGACCCAGCAGTGAGCTGAAGTGGTATGGGTGCCTACAGTGTCCCTTTAAGAATGCGTGTGGCAAGATACTTATACCTCTTTGGAGATAACCGATAATTTACAGAGTTTCATACTCTGTAATTTTTTTTCATTTTTATTTTTTTATTTTCATAATCAGTCCTAATCAGTCTTCCTTGAGGTTTAAGTTGTTTGTGGATTTTAGGAATAAAACTGTTTTGTAAAAAATATCTTTTAACTGTTCATTTTCTAAGAAACTTGTACAAATCAATGTACATATTACATTTCGAATTGGTAGAGTTAGGGGGCAATTTGTGTATCCTAAATATGTCTGGCATTCCATGGCAGTCTTATGCAAACTCAGCTTGTGGAACATGGTGGATGCAGACCCACAGCAGCATATTTTTTATTTATACATCTAATGGCATTAAAGAGGAAAACATTATTTTATCTATGCATTTGCAAGAATTTGGCTTTCACCATGTATAGATCAAATATTATCCCCATTTAAGTGATGCCATGTAATTCAAAGTGGGACATTTCATTTAATACATATCTATATATGCTTAAAATCAGTTTTTAGTATTTTCTTTTCTTTTTGTTACTGAAATCTTTTCTGACAGTGAACTAACAAAATTGTTCTTTATTCTTTGTTTACTTTTTTGTTGCAGAGACAGAGCTACAAACGAGTTAACTGAAATGAAATGTTTTCTAATTCCACTTTTGGAAACACTGTCTAAGCTCAACACTAATGCTTACATGCCAACACTAAAAACAGACAAAAGTTTACAGTTGCTTTTGAAACTGTTGCAGTTATGCTCACCAAGCTCTGTTCCAAATGTTTCAGGTTTGTGACTTGTTTAATAATTCAGTTATGTTGCAGTTCATTTATGTTCACAGCTTAAAATTGCTCAAATATTTTGTCAGAACACATTTGTTAAGAAATGTTTGTGAATAAATTACTCTGTGGAATGTACATGCTCTGAGAAAAGAGAGAAATCCTTTTGGTTGAACAGCTTGATGAGACACTCTAGGCACCCAGACGACTTCATCTCAGTTTACTGGTCTGGTGCCATGTTTTCACCTCCTGTTTTAACCCTGTATGTGATAACGTTATTTTGCAGAACGTTAATGTATTCATTGCACTGTTTAAATGCCTCTAGTGACTGTCACTCAGAAAATCACTTGAGGTGCTTCTGACAAAATGTAATAAAACCCTGCTATTTCAATCAGATGCATAGGTGTGCGCAGCCTATTGCATTCGGGTTTGCACCCTAAAGCACAAACACACGCCGCATGTATATGTGTGTGTGTGTGTGTGTGTGTGTATATATATATATATACATACACACACACACACACACACACACATACACTGCTGTGTGTGCTCTGTGAGGGTGCTGTGTGTGCTGTTAGTGTGATGGTGCTGTTAGTGTGATGTGTGTGTGAGGGTGCTGTTAGTGTGATGTGTGTGTGGGTGTTTGTGACGGTGCTGTTTGTGTGAGGGTGTTTGTGTGTGGGTGTTTGTGACGGTGCTGTTTGTGTGAGGGTGTTTGTCGTGTGAGGGTGTTTGTGTGTGTGAGGGTGCTGTTTGTGTGAGTGTCGTGTATTTGTAAGGGTGCTGTTTGTGTGTGTGTTTGTGAGGGTGCTGTTTGTGTGTGTGTGTATGTTTGTGAGGGTGAGGTTAGTGTACTGTGTGTGTCTGAGCGTGCTGTGTGTGAGCTGTATGTGTGTAGGTGCAGTGGGTGCTGTATGTGTGTGTGTGTGATGTATGTTTGGAGGGATTGTGGAGGTTGGGGCAGATTAGTAAATATCCCCCCTCCCTTCTGACCTTATGTAGGGAGGGGGGATCCTTGCTGCCATGTGCCATCCCTGGTGGTCTAGTTCCCCCAAAAAAATTATATATACTCTTGTGTGTGTATATGTGTGTGTGTGTGTGTTTATATATATATATATATATATATATATATATATATATACTTACACACACACACATTCACAGACACACCCACACATTCACAGACACACACTCATACATTTACACACATACACTCACAGACACACACTCATACATTCACAGACACACATTCACAGACACACATTCACAGACACACATTCACAGACACATACAGACACACACATTCACAGACACACACACATACAAATTATTATTTCTTAATAAAAAAAATGTCCACCCAGCCTCCCTACCTGGAGTGCTGGCGTGGACTTGTCCGTGGGGTCCAGTGGGGCGGATCCATCACCTCTTGCCCTTCCCCCCCAATGACAGGGGCAACACTGGGGGAGGAAGGGGGGCATTTGGGGGCGCTGAGTGCCTGCAGGAACAGCGTTCCTGCTCAAAAAAAAGTGCAGGAACACTGTTCCTGCAGGACTCAATCCATAGGCGTGCCGCGGGGATTAGGGTGTGCCCAGGCACACCCGGCACACCCCGTGAGCACGCTTATGATCAGATGGTTTCATAGAGACCATCTAATATTGCAAGGTTTTTTTCCCCTACATGTGCATTAGCCTTCCAATGCAGAGACTGGTGCTGTGAGGGACAAAAGGTAAGTAAACTACTTTGATTGCTGGCAGCTGTTGCCTAGTAAGCTAATTTTATTATTTTCAACTGCCCAACCCTTAAAACAAAGTCAAAACAAGGAATCAGCTGATCCTTTATAGGCACAGCATCAGAAACCAGCATGGCTCAAGGGCACACTTTTGACTTTATACCGCCAGTGGACAGTTAACAATGGACAGACAGTTTCCTTAAAGGACCACTATAGTGCCAGGAAAACAAACTTGTTTTCCTGGCACTATAGGGTCATTAGGTCCCCCCCCCCCACCATCAGGGCCCCTCTCCCACTGGGCTAAAGGGGTTAAAACCCACTTACCTTTATCCAGCACCGGGCTCCCTCGGCGCTGGTGACCTCTCCTCCCCCTGCCGTCAGCTCCGAATGCGCATGTGCGGCAAGAGCCACGCGCGCATTCAAAGAGCCCATAGGAAATCATTACTCAATGCTTTCCGTGGACGTCCAGTGTCTTCTCACTGTGATTTTCACAGTGAGAATCGAGGAAAGCGCCTCTAGCAGCTGTTAGAGAGACAGCCACTAGAGGCTGGATTAACCCTCATTGAAACATAACAGTTTCTCTGAAACTGCTATGTTTTCAGCTGCAGGGTTACAACTAGAGGGACCTGGCACCCAGACCACTTTATTGAGCTGAAGTGGTCTGGGTGCCTATAGTGGTCCTTTAAGTGCATGGATATCTATAACTAGGATATGTAAGTCAAATGACACTGATCCCTGCGCACTGCTAAAATTTCCCCAAATAAAAAATTGGTCTGTTACTTTAGTGCTGTTACTTAAGGGACAACATCCCTTGTCTCTTAAGTAACCCTCTGGTTGAGGGTTTGGGTTTTAGGAAGAATGGTAAGGAGAGCAACAGTGAAGTATATTATACAGTATTTTTTACTGAAAAGTAATATTTTGCAATTTAGGAACAGTATGTATAATTTTATGTTACACAATATTTTAATTTGAATGTTTGATTGTAGATTGGCATCTCGATTTTCTCTGGAATTTCGTAATGACTGCAGCCTCAAACATTATGGAGTTTATATTGAGAAGGATAAGTGGTGAGCTAAAAACCGTAAGTAGTGATATTTACAACATTTGTAATATAACCTTTGTGACAACATTTTCACATAAATAAAAGATAAACAATCATATTTAAGGTACAGTGTTAACATCAAAAGCAATATTCTGGAATCTGGGATGATATTCAGGAATTTGTTAGGCAGAACATTGTTTTATTAAACATACAGTTGTACTCAAAAGTTTGCATACCACAGGATAATTGGTAACATATATACCATTTTTAAAGAAAACATGAGTGAGCAGGCAAAACACATTTATTTTATTTCTTATGAGATTCATGATCAACTATAGGTTATAACAGAATTGCACAATTAAAAAAAAAAAACATGGCAACAAAAAAAAACAATTAAACAACCCCTGTTTAAAAGTCTGCTTAGCCTTAGTTCTTAATACTGTGTATTGCTCCCTTTAGCATCAATGACAGTGTGCAGTCTTTTGTAATAGTTGTCTATAAGGCCCCTAGTTCTTGAAGGTGGTATAGCTGCCCATTCGTCTTGGCAAAATCAATGCCAAAATTTCACAATTTCTGCCAGGATATGCAAACTTTTAAGCACAACTGTAGGTCATGTCAAACTTATTTAGTTGCATTTTACAAATAAGTAAGTAGAAGTATTGATCAGGATGTTGCATTGGATGTGATCTACTTGGATTACGCCAAGGTATTTGATATGATTCCACATAGGTTGGTGTTCAAACTAAAAGAAATTGGTCTGGATGAAAATCGTTATTCTTGGGTAACACATTGGCTTAAAGATAGAGTACAGGGAATTGTGATTAATGGTAAATGTTAAAGTTGGACAAAAGTGTTATGTGGTATCCCTTGGGGGGTCTGCTCTGCCACCTCTTCTATTAAGCATATTTATAAATGATCTTTAGTATGCATTGAAATTAATGTTTCAGTGTTTTGCACATGATGCAAAACTCTGTAAAGTAATATAATGTGAGCAGGATATTTCTTTGCTGCAGAGGGATTTAGATGGATTGGGGGATTAAGCACTCAAATGGCAGATGAAATTTAATGTAGATAAATGCAAAGTTATGCTCTTCAGGGTAAAGAATGCACAAGCAACTTACACCGTTTATGGTGTAATTAGGAATAATGACACACAAGAAAGGCTTGGGAATTGTTATAGACAACAAACAACAATGTGTAAATCAAGAGTTGCTAACAAGACAACACCCCGACGCACGACATCCACACGACCACCGCCCACAAACATTAAAGAACAGCGACTAACACAGAGGGGACACCCGTACCAAACACACACACAGGACAAAATTAATGGACAGACCCCTTGACCTCCAAACGCCCCACTCCTCGACAACTGCTCCCCGCCCTCCACCCCAACGGATCTTGAACAGGCCTACCTAACAGGGACCCCAAGACCGTGTCTCCCTGCTGCCCACACACCCCCTCCACCCACCTCCACACGCCGTACTCGGCTTGCCAAATCATATAACCTGCCCGACACACCGCCAACAACACAGGAGCCGCTGAAAACACGACGAGTGGCTGCCTCCTAATACTTACCCCATCCAGCAGGCTACCTGTACTAAGGGAATGCACCACATAGCTCAAAATTCCTACTGTATAATCTATAATGCGAACTATGTCCTTGCATAGACCACAACAAAGCTGTACACTTTACTGACTTGTCCAACAAGGCTAGGTGACGTGCCATGAATAGATTATACAGTAGGAATTTTGAGCTATGTGGTGCATTCCCTTAGTACAGGTAGCCTGCTGGATGGGGTAAGTATTAGGAGGCAGCCACTCGTCGTGTATTGCCGTTAGATGCTTATCATATATTAACAACAATGTCTGCCTTTACAACTCAATCCCCGAACTGGCCTTCATCTGCTGACGGGTGACATTTAAACATGAATGCTTAAAATTGTTAAACAAACGTCTGAACTATTTGACCGCTGGCAGCATCAAAAGCCAACGGCCAAATAGGTGAAAAACCTCTGTGTCATTGTCCTATTACATTGAGACCTGCGAGTCTCCCGTACACCTTCACTGTAATAATGTTCTACTGTAACTGTAATTATGATTCTATGCGTTAATAAAGCCTTGAAAGAAAGAAAAAAAAAACTTACAATGCACTGTTCCAAATTATTACACACAGTAAGTTTCAAAACACTTTATAGGTTGAAAAGAACTGAAAATTGTCATTTGTTATGTTTGCAGCATATTTACTGAAATCAAAAGCTATTTCAGTCAAACTTATAACAACATTTTAACTTTTTAAACATTTTAACAGGTCACATTACATTTTAACATAGGACCCCTTATTTGATAGCAGTCTTGCATCCATTGAACTTGTGAGATTTTTGGACAGTTGCTGCTTGAATTTGTTTGCAAGATATTAGAATAGCCTCCCAGAGCTGCTGTTTGGATTTAAACTGGCTCCCACCCTCATAGATCTTTTGCTTGAGGATGCTCCAAAGGTTCTCAATAGGATTGACATTAGGGGAGTATGGAGGCCACACCATGACTTTCTCTCCTTTTATCCCCATAGCAGCCATTGATGTAGAGGTATTCTTTGCAGCATGAGATGGTGCATTGTCATGCATTAAGATGATTTAATTATGGAAAGCATAGTTATTCCTTCTGTACCAGGGAAGAAATTGTTCAGGCAGAAACTCCACATACTTTGCAGCTTCGGGGGCCCTAAAGGGGCCAACCAGCTCTCTTCCCATGATTCAGGCCCAAAACATGACTCCACCACCGC